AACCAACAATACAATAACCGGCCAAACCAACAAAACTGGTTCCCATACCCACAAGGCAGATTTCAACAAAATTCAAATAATTATCCCACTAGGAACGGAAACCGAACTGAACCAATTATATGACCCCAGAACAACGACAAGTCTGTACCACCATAATCGATAAAACCGACCAACCACATAAGTCGGATTTAAACTAAAGAGCACTGAGAGCAAAAATGGCCTACACACCACTTCCCCTGAAAATAATATTCCCTCAACTGTCTCTTCAGTGCGAGAAAATCCATTCGGAAAAATAAGGCCAAATGTATATAATGAATAAAATAATTGTTATGAAACCGATGTAATCTGTTGAGACAGAGAATTTTTATTAATTGAAGAAGATGAACCAAGCAATGATTCCCACGAGATTAAACAAATTGATTTTCCAGAAATTAGTGTTACAATTAATAAATCGAAGATAAATGCCCTAATTGACACCGGCTCTAATGTAACATGTATATCGGAAAAATGGTTCCTAGAAAATAAACACCACATAGGTCATTTTGAAGAATTGCCAATTACAAATACACATAATAAAACCACTACGGGAGATCGATCTAAGCGCATAACTAAAATCATAATGTTACCTGTAATGATAGAAAATGAAGAAACTCAACTACAAGTTTTACTCATACCAAACTTAGTTAGAAATTTAATAATTGGGAATGATGTATTAAATATATGGCAGTTTGAGATGAATTTTAAAGAAAAAGTTATTAAATTGAAGATTAATAATAATAATATTACTTTGAAGTTCGGAGAGGTATCTGTTGAAGGTATAAATTGCAATTTTGTATTTGAGCAAAGCCCAAGGCGAATCATTGAGAACGAAAATAATGATGATAAATATTATGAAGATGATAGTATTAATAATTATATGAAAACAAACAACAATCTACATTATATTAATTATATTAATTACAATCCTAACTTAATTATGAGTAAAAATACAGGAAGTCTACGAAGGCGCATTCAAGATCAGTACAATTTTAGGACATTCAACTTATAATGTAAGCACTCTAGATGACAAGAAGACATTTGGGCCATACCACATTTCAGCACTAAAAAGATATATTCCTCCTCAGCCGAAGATACAAGTTTGATAATCAAAAGTATAAAAGAATAATAGTATATTTAAAGAAAATTTTAAATTGAAGAAAATTAAATTAAAAGTGTGTGTAGAGAGACCTTAAACCCATGTAAATAGTTAAATGTAAAATAAAAAAAAATAGACACTCTACAAAGTGAATTAAATACCAGAAGAAATATGTAAATTAAAAACATAAAATAGACGCTCTGCAGTGTAATGAAATACTAACTTAATTAAGAAAAGTGTAAAGTGAGAAAAGATGTTAAGGAACAATAAACTCATATGAACTATATGATAGTGATGAGAAAATCATATTACCCCATTGTCCCCAATACATAAAAAATAGTACTTCTTTTCTCATATCTTTAATGTTAATAAGTGTTATAATTATGTTGTTAATTAATTGTTCATGATTCAATAATTGTGTTGATGTATTTGTATTTCAATAACCATGTTCCATCCATCGTTCTTTTTTTATAGTTAAGTTTTTATAGTTCATTAAATGTTAATGTTTACATTTCAAACCAAAATTTATTTCACTCTGTATTAAAACCTCATATTAAATGTAATATTCAGTTTCTGCGGGGATATTGCAACAGTTCATAAATTTTTGTATATTTAAATAATATATAAATAGCCTATTACCAGTCAATTAAGCCTAACAGCCTATTTTAAATATATTATGTTTACAATCTATTTCAAACACAAGCTAAAGTAAAAATAAATATAATTATATAAACAAAATCTCAAAAAGTAATTTACCCAAATTAAATTTCATATACTATTAATTGGCCTGAGTGACTAAAAGTGAACAGTGAACTTCAAGATCTAGAAGACCTGAGTGCATTGTTGCTGTAAAACATGTGTTAACAACTGGACTTCCTCCTTCTTCTTCATGAAATAGCCTGAGTAATAGTTTCAAACAAATTTGTGTGGTTTTAATATTAATATGTTCTAATAAAAAGTGAAAGCTAAACCAAAATAGTTTATTATTTCAAATAGTAAGAAGACCTGGAACCCTTAGGAATAATTTTTGTATACCATACAGGCAAGAAGAAATGGTTTTTCAGAGAAGAAAATTGAACTTGGTAATCCCCATCTAATTATTATAGACTAGCCTATTTAGGTGTTGGAAATTTGTGAACATTATTTCTGAGGTGGATCGAGTAGCCTCATAGTTGTTTATACCTATATAAAATCTTTGATTCAAGTAAAAACTTTTAGTGAAATTAGAAACAAACAGACTTTAAAATTAGGCTATAAGCCATGTGCTCGAGTCTATAAATTAAGATTTATATGTCTCATAAATTAAAAGATTAGCAAGTAAATTGGAAAATAAAGAGAGTTCCTAGCACTAACCCTAAACCCTGAGGTTGCAGGGTAAAGAGGCCAGATGATGTTAATAGTACTAGAAACAAATAACGACCAAGGAATCAACCAAAATGGATAGACCTACTATACAACAAATGTTGTTTCAGAGAGATTTTGTTTTAGAATTAGCATTTTACAATTTGGATGATGGCATTATGTCTATGTGTTTATCTAAGTAAATTTGTCTATATTTCAAGAAATCTATATAGATTTAATTAATAGCAATGAAGATTGTTATTGGAAAATGTTCCTTAGTTGTATTATGATTAGAAAGTTTATATTATAAACACACCGCATGTCCTTTGGAATTTTTATTTTAAACAGAGCAGACATCAAAATGCATTATGCAGGTATGCAATAACTATTATACATATCATAATATACAAAAATGTTGAATGATAATTCACGGTAGGGTAACCCATTAGCAGTGGCGTAACAGAAGGGCCCGCAGGGCCCGCAATGCGGGGGGGGGCCCGGAAGCTGAGGGGGCCCGCGAACCGGTGAGCGGGAAACGGTGAGCAGAGAGGCCCGTGAGACGAGAGGGGCCGAAAAATTTGAGTTCATTCTTATTTAAATGACAACTCAAACTCAATCATTTAATTAGTGTATTGAACAAGTAATAAACTTAATGTCATTAATAATATGTTATCTGTTATCATTGAATTTCGAGGCCTCTTCAGTGATAACGAACTAGGGTAACAAATTTAACGTGTTATAACGTAGGTTGTTGGGATTATTATGCAATCTTACTTGTCACCGAGAAATATTTTACTTCTCGGTGATTTCGTACACTGCTTATGTCGTCTGCAAACATTTTGAAACATTAAGTTATTTTGGAGCCTGGAGTCATGAACGTTGGCTGGGGCTTTTAATATTATATTATTTTACATTTTAATTTTGCCCTAACATTGATTGTATTTTGTTAAATACAATATGCTACTCTACTGGCTGTGTTTGTTAGTCCATATCTTATTTTACCTCACAATTAACCAATACTAAAGGCATTTGTTGTAAGTTAAACGCTAGAAATCCATACAAAGATAAAATTAAAAAATTCAATAGGCTATTTTAGCCTGTGATAAAAGTACGTCAATCTATTAAATTAACCAAATTTTAGTGTATGAGTTAATTATAACCAAAGATTAAACTAACCTAATACAGTAAATTAATACTTTAATACTTTACTTTGAAATGGCGACCATACCAATGTCGGTATTTTAAGCCAAGAATTAATGGAGATGAGTGTAGGATAAGTGGCCCAACATTTTAGTTTTAAAGACACAGCTGTTAATTAATAGCCAATACAGCCAAAGGCAACTAAGGGGCCTACAGTTAGGTGAATTCGAACTACATTTTTGCCTTGCAACGAATTAGTCTAATTATCAAGGTACAGTAGAACCTCTTTAATCCGAACCCCCCAATCTGAACGTCCACTAATCCGAACCCCTCATTGCTGTACTCTACACACAGTACTCTACACAGTACAGTAGTTCTTTATTGTATACTGTATTTAATTTACAGTACTGTTTATTCACCATGTTTACTACTGTATTAAATAAACACTTTATTTTACTTTATAAAACATTTTTCTCACTTTTCCCAAAATAATGTTGATCAATTTTAGCCATGTTTTAGCTATTGTTATGTAAAAACAACAATATGTTGTTCTGTAATCCGAACTATTCAATAGTCCGAACTACCCCTGGTCCCAATTAGTTCGGATTAAAGAGGTTCTACTGTAATTAAAATGGATAACATGTGTGATAAATTAAATGTAAAACATCCTTGATATAAACATTCTGATACGATGGACAAAGGTTTTTTTATTTGATTTCAAAACTATTTACACACACTGATATTGGTATAATGATATAGTGATGTAACATTTTCATCAAACCACGACTGAAATAATTAACCCACCCTTTTATGGAACATAACCACCATTTATTTACCACTCGTTTTTATGATTAATCTGTTTGACCATTTTATCGGTGGTCCAAAAATAACTCTGGGGGGAGGGGGAGGGCGTTTCACTATGTTGTATAGGTGTTCTAAAAATAAGTCATGAGAAGGGGGCCCGTAAACATTTGATGCGCCACTGCCCATTAGACTAATAATTTGTACAAAATAATTACTAGAATATAGGGGCTATTGCCCCTACAAGCCACTAGTCAGCAAATAATATTACTACAGATAATTTTCTTGAACACAATTTATGTATATTATGAATAAAATTGGACCTAGTACAGAACCCTGTGGGACACCTGATTTTGTTTCAAGTTTTTCTGAACTATAATATTTTACATTATTGTTATTATCAATAAATGGAATTTGGACTGACTGTTGCCTGTTTCTAAGGTAAGATTCAAACCATTGTAGTGCAATTCCTCGGGCCTACAGCAGCCGTACGAGTAACGCTCGTAAGTTGGTGCCAATGGGTTAAGATGCTGACGAGAGCTTAATTTAAAAGTTATAGAAAGTAAGGAAATCTTGATATTACTTGGGTTGAGGTGCAGGTGACCAGACTTTAACTGCTCCGTCTACATCACAGCTGGCAACCACTGCACCTGTAGCATTGAACTGACACTGGGTAACAGCTGACTTGTGTTCACACATCTCCTCCTATAATAGTAAAAACAACATACTACAGTCCTGTCTTTACAACTAGCCCAGACCACTTTCCAGACCAGTCTGAAAATTGTAAGGGAATATTTTAGTAAAAACCCAAAAAAGTGGTTTTCGAAGTGATGTCTATGTTGTGTGTGTGTGTGTGTGTGTGTGTGTGTGTGTGTGTGTGTGTGTGTGTGTCTGTGTCTGTATTCACCGGATAATGGTATCCTTCACAGGCACACGGCCGTACTGTGGCACCTTGAAAAATTGTGGCACCTTTTTCAGGGTGCCACAGCTAATTCGATCATTTTTGGGGGTTTCCAGCATTATTACGTCATTGAAACATCACATGCCACAATTGAGTATTTTTCATCTCGTCGATGTGTGTTTAAGTAGCGCAGGCACACGCCGAATTGTGGAACACGAAACCATGCTGGCAGCTAGCACGCCTCGCGTCGTCCACCGGAACTACAACTTCCTTAATGCTGCGTTGCCAATTCTCGCGCCAGCCTACACTCTAGTTTTTAATAGTGGCACCATGCCGCAATTCAGTATACATCAACAGTGTGTGGACAGGCCACTTAATGAATTGTAGCGCTTGAGCAGTGTGTAGAACAGTGCAACAAGCAACTAATAAACTAATAATACTGTACTGCCACGTACTATAAAACAATTTAAGTATCATAAATAATATACTTTTGCTCCGAGTGGTGAACGATGTTTTACATTACAAATAACTTGTGTAGTAAATTATTATTTAAACTGTTTTTATGCAGCTATTTAAAATTTATATTTTTATTTACAAACATAAATTGTTAACTGTGCTGATTTTAAATCAAAAGGTTTAAAATCCGCACCAGGCGACGGACAAGTCGTTCCAACCATGACGTAACGCGGAGGGATATGAGAGAGAAAAAGGACTCGAACTGTGCCGTGTGCACTCGTCTCTTCACTCGTAGTTGTGCCGTCAACAGCAAAGGTCGCCATGTCACCGGTGTAGGGCAATTTTTATTAATATCTTAAATTCGTAGCTCGGAAATTCGCGTTCGGGTAAAAATTGTACCTTCATCAAATGATCGCAATTGTCAAAATTTCACCGAACTGCAATTGGGGGTGTGATTTTATTAGTATTAAGTCGAGACAGTTGCCGGATAGATTGTTTGCGTTCGTGATGAAAATTTGTACATGCATCAAATCGATAGCAAATGTCAGTTTCTTAGCGAGTCGTAGATTGTCGTGACGGTATTTTCAATTTAATCAAAAACGCCAGCTCGAAAAAACAAGAATTAATAAGTCCTACACCGGAAAAAACCGTGTAGTGAAATTTCGCTAGGTCCGACAAAGTACTACGAGTCAGATTTTAAATGTTCCGTCCATGTGAATCTTTCGCCTGTGTGAATGTTAATGTGTTGACATGTGTACGTAAGTAGTGATGTGGGCCGGGTAAATACCCAGTGGGTAGGTAAATATAAATTGGGTATTTACATGGGTATTTACCCCAGGCCCGGGTAAATACCCAAAAACTGGGTATTTATAATTTGTATTAAAGTTAGAGAAGATTGAGATGTTTTTTGCAATTATTACCTTGTAAGGATAGCAAAATGATAATAAAATGTGTTAAACAAAATTTCATATGGTCACTACTAGCATTTTACTTCTCGGAATGATCACCATAAATACCCAGGTCTGAGCATAAAGCATAATCGGCATAAATACCCTGGCCGCATGGTTGCACTGGTCCTGACTACTTATGATTTTTTAATTTCTATAATAGATAGATGAATTTATTTTATTAAAAGTGAAGAAAAATAATTTGTAAAGTTATAATTATTACTGTATTTAGAAAGACAGGAAAATTTAATCTAGTAGTGGCCTATGGGTAAAAAACTTAAGAAAATAATTAAAATTCAATCTGTAGGATGGCAGGATTTATAATATTTTTGTTCTAGGCTAGATCTTTTGTTGGTATCAAAATAAAAAAATAAACTAATTTCATAAACTTGTGATACAAAAAATTTGAATCCATAGCACAATAAATCTTTCAAAATTATATTATAAGTTAGACAAAAAAACAGGAGATACATTTTTTAATAGGTTTATCCAAATATATTGTTCCCAACTAAGCAGTAACACAGAAAAGTTTAATGTAGACTCCCTCTTATCTGGACACCTTTAAACCGGACAATTTTTATCAGCCCATTGGTTTAACCTGAATAGATTGGCAAGAAGTGAGCGGTACTGAAACGACTGTTCTCGTGGGAAAGATTTGAGACCAGTGATCACGTATCTAAATACAATCATTGACTAAATCCTTAATGATACAATGCTCTCCTAAATTAAAGTCGAATATGACAGAACCAGTACACGGTTTCCGTTTTAACAAGTTTTTGGGGACGTCGGTTTAACCAGAAAAACCGTTATCTGGACTAGCCTCGGTCCCGAGGAGTCCGGATAAGAGGGAGTCTACTGTACATTCAGTATTCTGCCATTCTACCTATATCATTCAGGCCTTGGGTCTGTCTAGCCTTCCAAGCCATTTACACAATACAAATTTCAACTATCATAATTTAATAACAGTAGAAGTAGGTTTAAGTTCACTATTTCTCTGATGAGGTGTTGTCTTGATTTCATAAAAAAAGTGCTAAATCATTAAATAAAAGGTACTAGCAAAGCTTCAAGTTACTGTAAAAGGTGTTATAGACAATATCCTAATTTATCATGTAATGATAACTATAACATATTTAGGGGTAGATAAAAATTAATTTCAATCGATTTCATAAATACCCAAAATACCCGGGTATTTATGGAATTTGGGTATTTACCCGGGTAAATACCCAGGGTATTTACCCCGAGTTTTAAATACCTGGGTATTTTACATCACTATACGTAAGTAAATGTTTTGTGTCATTTGTGTTTTAGAAATAGTTTAGTTCTGCCAATCTGCCATTTTTTCACATGTACAGATTATTTTTACCAGTCAGAAATCATGTCTCAGTTGGTCCGAATATTTCATGTTTCATTTGGCATGTCGAAGCACATGGTCACGAAATTCAGAATAAAATGTTTCATTAAATTTGTCATAATATACAAAGAGTTTAGGCTGAAATAGTAATTCTAGTCAATTGAAAATTATTTATTAAATTGAAATGGAAAAAGCAAATTAATTGAAGAGTACTGTTTATCTGTGATATATTATTAAATTTTTATGTTCTATGTAAGGGTCAAATTCTTCCATAAGAAAAACATTGAAAACGGTATTTTTCACACTTTTTATTTGGGTGCGACTTTTAGCTGCCATTTTTAATATTTACAAGAAGTGCATGGTATCAATTTGTAGGAAATTTTATTCTCTTTCAGAATATCACCTTCCACTTTGGTCGATTTCCTCACCATTTAAAAGTTATTTGCAAAAAAGCTAAGCAGCCTCCGAATTTATAGTAATGAGAAAATATTGAGTTTAAAATATTTTTGTTAAACTTTGTACAACTAAATCTAGACTTCTACTGGACCGATTTTGTTGGGTCATTAGAAAGCCCAATTCATGTAGATTTGCAAATAATTATAAAATTGAGATTTTATTAAATATTTCTGGCAAAAAAGTAAAAATAACAAAAATACATTAAAAACTGCTTTTATCAAGTTTCTGTTTTCAAGATTTTATTTGTAGCCAGTTTTTGGCTGCCTTTATTAAGTATTTTCAAGAAATGCATAGAAGTTATTCGTAGTAAATTTTATTCTCTTTCAGAATATCACATTCACTTTGGTCGATTTCCCCTTCATTTAAAAGATATTGGCAATAGTCTAAGTGATCTCCAAATGTATAGTGGTGAGAAAATACTGAATTAGATACATTTTTGTTAAACTTTGTACAACTAAATCTAGACTCCTACTGGACTGATTTTGTTACTTAATGAGTCATTGGAAAGCCTAATTTGTGTAGATTTGCAAATAATTATGAAAGTTTGACTTTTTTAGATATTTGAGGTGAAAAAAAAAAAAAAAAAAAATAATACATTTAAAACTCCTTTTTTTCCAAGTTTATATTTTCAATTTTATATTTGTAGCCAACTTCAGTCTGCCTTTATTGAGTATTTTCAAGAAATACTTAATAGCAATTTGTAGGAAATTTTATTCTCTTTCAGAATATCACCTTCCACTTTGGTCGATTTCCTCGCCATTTCAAAGTTATTTGCAAAAACGTTAAGCAACCTCCAAATTTATAGTAGTGAGAAAATACTGAATAAAAGATGTTGTTGTTAAGCTTTGTACAATTAAACCTACAGTTCTACTGAACCGATTTTATTAATTAATAGATCATTGGATAGCCTAATTTTTGAAGATTTGCAAATAATTATGAAAGTACTGTTGAGGTTGCAAGTAAGATCGTTTGGCTATAAATCGATATTAATAACTCCATTTTTTGAACAATTTGTGTTGGTCGTGATTTAGTTGTGTGCTTTAATGAAATGGAAGCTGGTATTTCAATGAAGGTTCTTAGGTCAAAACAAATAACGTAATTAGAATTAAATAAATATATCTAAAACTAAATTCCATATCCAAGATATAATCAAATTTATATTTTCTGATTGAGCGATACAGAATCTTGAACTTAACTGATTAAAACTATCAATATCTCAAGAGAAAGCTTTTGAAGTATTTTAAGACCAAGACATAAAATAACCTAAATAAAAATAGTTACGTATCATTGATGCAGAAGGTACTAAAACGATTGTAATTATTGTTGATTTGTGATTCAGAAGTGCGCTTTAGGTAGTCCGTTCTTAATAATCAATAGCTCGAATGAAATCTGGTATTTCACTTAAGGTTTTTGGACCAAAATGTATAATGTTATTAGATCTTCTGGAATACATCTTTAATTGAAGTTAAAAAAAATTCTTTCGTCGAGTAATGCATTAGATAAATTAATGATGATGCTTGATGACAAATATGTGCTTGCATATCTTTATTTTAATACCAAAATTATGAAAATTGGGCGGGTTGAAGAGCCCTCC